GTGATGATGGTGTACCAAAGAAAGATGAATTAAAAGAAATTCTGAAAAGAATTGGCGCGAGATGGAGTGATCATGTTGGACCGGATACAACCCATTTACTTTGTAATATTCAAGGTGGCCCGGAATATAATCGAGCTTTGGAAAGTAGTATACCTATCGTGAAGCCCGAATGGCTATTGACTAGCGAGAAATTGGGGAAAATGCAGGCTGCGTTACCGTATTATCTCGTAAATGACGGAGATACCTCTGTTACTGCGAACTCCGAAAAATAATTTATTTCTTTATTGTTATTGAAAGTCAGTGTTTTTTTAGATAGAGAAATTAGAAATTTATTATTATATCATTTTTTTGCTGAAAAAGTTCTTAATAATATTTAATAATAATAATCGCAAATTTTATATAATAAAATAAAAATACTATTGATAATGGGAAATTAATTGGAAATGACAAAAATAGAGAAAATATCAGAGTACTAAATAAAATAAAAAAAAATAAAATTGCAAACTTTATGATTTACGATCTCATTCGCTTTGTTATTCTTGCCCATCATAAATTACTTAAAATAGTCCTCGCAATCATTTACACACACATATGTATATATATGTTCTCCTTACCCTGTATTATACATTGTAATAATTTATATTATTTGACCAACGGACGAACATGACCGGAATCATCTTTACATAAGCGTTCATTGTATTTTTGCATTTCTTTCAAATAAGCATTGGCTTTTGGATCTAATGTCTCATTGTCCTCCATTTCTACGTTTGTACGTTTAGGGTCTGGGTCAACATCATCCGTGGGTGGACTCTTGCGTTTACCACGATTTCTCTGAATTCATAATTTGTAAATAATAGTAATTGAATTAAATTAAAGAAAAATCAAAGCAAAATACACTTACAATTCGATCTTCGAAAGCTTTCTTTCTATTTGATTCGACAAGATACACAAACAGCATACCCGCAGCAACCAAAAAGCAAATGAAAAACGCAGCAGGATAATAAAGAGTCGATGTGTATAAGATATATATATATGTGTGTGTATATATATATATATGTAAAATATGGGATTTTATTGTTTTTTTGTGGTAGTGATATTTATTTTTGTAAAATAGTGTGAGTAATCAAAATTTCAATTTGTTTGCCTTGAAATCAAAATATGTGAATAATAATCAGAGTGTTTGTTTTGGATGTTGAAATAACGGGGGAAAATTCAAAGGGCATATTATCAGACAAACTTTCATTAATTCAGTATCTCAGCGAACAAATCTCCAAAAATCACATCTTTGGACGGCTAAAGCAGAACTACCAAGCATTCCAAGAAAGCAAGACTCGCAAATAACATGGTCAAGGGGAAATAAATCAAAATGCGGACACTGGTTCGTCTCACCTTTCTAAAGCCTCACGTTTTTTCTTTTTCTCATCT